GCCTAATATTTATACAGGTACAGGTGGTTTCTAGTCAATTCTTTAGTCTGAACAGAGACACACCAAAGAGTCACAAGATAAATTTGAATCCTGTCTTTGAGATCTTTTGATTGAATTCTTAAATGCAAGAAAATCCTAACAATAATACTAAACCTTCCACCTATCAAACTTTCTTCTACTTGGCTGTCCCTCAAAGCTGAGAGTTGAACAGCAGGTGGGTGGAGCTGCTGTTTCTGAAATAACTCTATTAGGCGTTGTTGGGTTTCACATACATTGACTATGTGCACGTTAGCATATGCTACTTCCGGTGCGGAAACTCCTGTGGGGAGCTTTGTTTCCGGTGTCCTATTCGCGCCTGGTTTACGGTCCAAAACAAGTTAAGCAAATGAATGAATCAAGCGGCGATTTACATTTCTATAGATGTCTTGGGCATTTACCCAATATATCTGTAAATGATGTTCATCGACTTGTCGATATTTTTCCCCGCGCCTCAGAGCAAAAGAGAAAAGGGATTCAAATGTTATATTTCTCAGCTGTCCCTCGTTTATCGCGGGTGTTATGTTCTAAAAATAACCAGCGATAGGTGAAATCAAGTAGCCAATTTTATTTTTTGACGGTGCAAAACGTTTCGTGGACATCGTGGACATACAGTACTGCACTTCAGAGTCACACTGCTAGCGATCGATGCAGCGATTCTGTACTGTACAGGAGAGACGTCACGGAGGAGATCGTCTGCAGCGATCAGGACGCAGGACACAATGTGACCTCTGGTGCAAATTACTGACCTCTGTCATCATTTTAAGTGGGGGAACTTGCACAATCGGTGGCTGACTAAATACTTTTTTGCCCCACTGTATATACAAAATGAAGTACAAAAATAAAAGCCAGCAATTCCCATTATATGTTCTTATTTCTTTCACAGACACTGTAAAGACATTGTTAAAGTTTGTAAAATAGACAAAACGAGTTTACAAATAAAATGTAAAAACATCATCAGTGTGTTTTGATCTGTTTTCTTTCTACATATCTGACAGACATTTAACATCTACAGAATATTAATAACATAATTTTCTTATTCTGTCTCCATTATATAAAAAAGGTTTTTCCCCTCGTTGCTCGCTATGCAGAACGACTTGTTGCAAAACTTGAGGAAATGAATTTGGATGAATCCATCACTGTCAAACAGTATGTTGTTAATCAGAAATATGCAAACATATTAAATTGTTCATCCTAAAATAAATAATGCACTGATCACTTGTCTTTTCCAACTCTCATAGGTTTGTGGCTCCTTACAGTTTAGACACTGTGACCAGTGCTTCTTTCAGTGTGGAGACAGACTCCATAAACAATCCAAATGATCCAGTTAATGTTCAAGTCCAAAAGTTCCTTAAATTAAAAATGTGGCTTTTCTTATTCATAAGTATGTCCTTCTTTTGACTTTTAAAAACTCATTTAATGTTTTGTTTTCAGAAAGCAAACTCAATAGTATCTGCAGGATGTCAAATTTTGCTTATTCAGTCTGGTCTCATTTCAGTGGCAGTTCCCTTTGGTGGACGTCTGGCAAAGTTCCTGAACATGGAAATCACACCCAAGGACAGTGTTGACTTTTTCTATAACCTCCTCAAGAAATTTAAAAACCAGCATCATGAAGACAAATCTGTAAGTATTAAATTGACAAGGACATGAAACTAGTCGCAGAGGCCATCAGCTCATCAGAAATCTTTATAGACATGAGAGACAAGAGAAGGTTGTTTTCCATATACATCTAGCTTTGAAACCACAGGACTCGCTCCCTGTAAGCTACGGGAAAATAATTTAGGGCAATACCTGGAATCATTTGCCATTTTTTATATACAGTCTATGCACACCGCAAACATTATTGATATTTTTCTTCTGCTGTTGACTCTCAATCATCCATATGTGAGCACATTTGAATATTGTCTTTTCTGATGTAGGCTCGAGCAGACTTCCTGCAGGTGTTGATCCAGAGTGAGATCCCAGAAAAGACGTATAAGAACGATGAAGAACAGCCAAGTAAAGGTATGTGTTTACCACAGAAGTAATCCAGAATAACCCAGTCACCTATGTCACATTTACTTTAGACAACTCAGGATCAAGGGTTTAACACACACATTTTTCTCATGACATCAATCTGCTCATATGTCTCAAAAGACCAGTCAGTCAGTATCATATATTATAAACCAGGAGCTTGATGATAAATAGCTGAAGGGCTCTACACATCACGACGACATCCCTGTAAATATTTATAGAGCCATCCTAGCTATTGTAACATTTTTGATAATCTGGCTATAAATAATTACATTAACCAAGTTGGATCTCAGGTCAACATGTACCCCTTCAGCCAGAATGTAAACTACAGAAGACAAGAATCAAGGTTAAGGGTGTGCATTGGTGCCAATGCATACCCTTAACTAAATGTACAGTTTCACTGAGCAACTTTTCAGCTGCCCTGTAGCACACACACCTCCTACCTCAGGTCCCAGCACATCCTTTATCGGGGAGCCATGACTGGATGATGGAGCTCAGGTGTGTGCAGCCTCTGACACCACACCCTTAACCTGCTGCTACACCCTTCCCCTGCAGCTGAGCCACAAACCACACTCCATCACAGAAAGTTTTAGTATTAATCTTAAAAGCATAGTCTGTTCTTGTATCTTTTTATTAAAAATGATGCAGTTTGTGTGTCATTGCACTCTGAAATGAAACGAATGAATATTACAAATATACAGTTGGAGTTTTAAAAAAAAGAAATCATGGAATCAATTTATGAACCAAAATGTATTCTAAACTTTTGAATCATCAAAGCAGCCACCTTTGACAGATATAACAGCTGGACACACCCATGGCATTCTTTCTACAATAAAACAAAAAATATCAAATATTCTTTTAGAAAGTTCTTCTCATATCTGATGCAGAGGTTCCCATAAATGAGTGGCACTTGTATGTTGCTTTGGTTTCACTCTTCTGCCCAGTCCAACCCAAACCAAAGGTTTGAGTCTGAAGACTGTGTTGCCCACTTCCTGATTTCAAGGTTACATCTTGTTCTTTTTTTCCTGAGGCAGTCTGGCAATGCTTGGACTTATGTTTTGGGTCATTACCTTGCTGTAGGATGAACCCCTGACCAACTAGGTTCATACCAGAGGGTGTTGCATGCTGCTGCAGAATGTTGTGGTAGTTGTTTTGGTTCAGGGTGCCTCTCCCTCTGTACAAGTCACCGAACCTGGATCCAGCAAAACAGCCCCAGACCATCACTCTTCCTCCTCCATGTTTGACAGTTGATGCCACACACTGTGGAACCAAAAATTTGCCTTCTTGATGGTGTACAAATGTCCTGCATGATGAACTGAAGATTTCAAATTTGGATTCATCAGTCCATACCTTCTTCCAGTCTTCAAATAGTCCAATGGTGGTGTTTCATTTGTCTTGTTCCAACGTCTTAGCGACTTAGCGTCTTGCTTCAACTCGCCCTGTCATGCCTGCAGCTTGAAGTCTTCTCTGTACATTTGAAACTGAGACTTGCTTACTGCTGTTAGGGTCAACCCGCGTGGACCCAGGTAGCAGATCACACAGACACTTTAAGCTAGAGCGTAAATGATTTCTTTACAATAACACAGTTCTGGGATTGCCGTCATAACTGGTGGAGGACTCAAACAGTCTATGGGAAGGCAAGGGAGCAGTGATTAGAGAATAGACACGGTGAGAGGAAGACGAGGACTATGTGAGGTGAGAGAGTTGGAGAGCTTACTTGCCACAAGTTTGGTGACAGGCTGGGCCAGGGGGTGTGAGGAGCTGGTGGATTAGGCAAATAGAGTGCGGGCTGGTGATGGTGCAGGCTGATGAGGGTGACCAATATTCAGAAAGAGACCAACACGTTACCACTTCTGGATGAGGCAATACTCTGACACCAGACAGCAGCTGCGCTGCTCCTCAAATAGCCCCAGCTGATGATGCCTGATGCCCTGCAGGTATGCCAGGGAATCCAATAGATCACAGTCCTGCCCGTCTGCACTGAAAAAGGGAAATGACAGGACAGCAACAACACACAGCTGTGTTCCTGTGAGCTGCCTATCATGCAAGCTGTTAACTCTCAGAAACTTGTCCTCGAATTCAGTCGTTTCTTTGGGTCTGACTTTGTTTACAATTTCTCTGTAAAAAAGCACCTACATTTTTAAGTGTTATGATAGTCTGTCTCTCTTCCATCTTAATTGCCTTTTTCTTGCCATTTTTGTAGTAACACACTACTTTCTGCAGTACAACACTGTTAAACTGATGCTCATGAGGGTATGGTACCACAGTGTGTTCCAAGACTCCAGAAAATTCAGAATGCCTGTAGGAATTAGTAGCACCAGCTTTAACCCTAACCCTAACTCTAACTGCCCGCAGGGGCGAGAAAGTACTAGCTACTGATTACGCTTAAATAAGATAATTAATTATGTTTTTTCATAGGTTTGACTGAACATGAGATCCTTTCCCAGGCCTTGGTCTTCATCTTTGGAGGCTACGAGACCACCAGTACCACTCTAACTAACATCCTTTATAATCTGGCCACCAACCCTGATGCGTTGCAGACCTTACACAAAGAAATTGATGCTAACCTGAAGGAAGATGTACAGTAATTCATCACATAATTTGTTGCCATCCTTGATTCAGTGGTTTGTCATTTGCATATTTTGTTTTTATGTTTGCCTTCTTTATATTTTGCCTAGTCACCCATTTCATATGAAGAGCTGACCGGTCTACAGTACTTGGACCAAGTTATACTTGAATCAATGCGACTGTTTCCCACTGCCCCTCGCCTCAACAGGGTGTGCAAAAGAACTGTGCAAGTGAATGGACTCACCATCCCTGAAGGAACCACAATTAGGATTCCTGCGTGGGTGTTGCACAAAGACCCACGCTACTGGGACTCACCTGAGCTTTTCAGACCAGAGAGGTAAATGTACGTGTAGGTGTGTCATCACAAGGTTATAAAGAACCTGGTCATCCTGTAATTAGTGAAACCTGGGACATTATGCTTTGCTTTATCTTTGCTAGATCTTTCAGATGTTTTATCCATTATAGCTTCCACCTAAGTACTGCTTTGATCATAGGTTTTTCCCTGCTGTAAGATCTAACTGGCCAGTGGGTCCCTAATGCCTGCTTAGATGGTTTGGCATCTTTACGTTGTAGGTCTACAGACTGCCTAAAAATCATGGCTCAATACAATGAGAATTATTTGATTATACATATCTACATTTTTAAAGTTTGTTTGATCTGTATCTGCAGGTTCAGTAAAGACAACATGGAGGAGGTGAACACATACGCGTTCATGCCATTTGGACTTGGCCCTCGTAACTGCGTTGGGATGCGCTACGCCCTCCTCGTCATGAAGATGGTTATTGTCCGTCTCTTGCAGAAGTACACTTTGGAAACATGCAAAGAGACAATGGTAAGAGCAGCAAACCTCCACATTTAGACTGTCATGGTACTCTGCTGTCCTGTCACTGATGTTACATCCATTTCTTTTCTTTTTTTTTAGATTCCACTTCAGTTTGACTGGAAGGTTCAGCCAGTTCAGCCTGTAAAACTCAAGTTTGTTCCCAGAAATAAGTAGTCTAAGAGGGAACATCTCCATCCTATCAAAAAAATCCTATCAAACATTTTATTGTATAATTTTCTTTTAATGTGAGGCAAGTGCTGCCATAAGGGTATTCATCCTTTTTCTGCTGCTTAACTGTAAAATGTTAAATCAGTGCAGTGTAAATATTTGAATTTTCTTGCAATATTATCAAATGTATTTTAATTACTTTTCTTTAAATTGTGTTGAACTGTTTTCAAAAAGCTAACTTTACTAATGGTTTACTGTATGAATTTCCTGATAACCATCTTTGATTTGTGCAAACATATTATTCTGTGACACTTGATCTTTAGGTTTGCCTTTGTTAATTTTGTCTTGTTTTCTGTCATGCAAGAGCTTTATACAAATGAATAAATAAAATTACAGTTTGAAACCTAGAGACTTATCAGAATATCTCTTGGGACAGTTAAGTCCATGAAATAAGCTGCTGGCAGCTATACACGTCTCATTGATGGCTGTAGTCTTATTATTGGTTTTACCATCACAGCTAGTCAGGTTTCCAAAGGCATAGGGTCTTGTGGGCTAGTCAGAGCGGACACTCCATTTTCCCTCCTGCATCCAGTCTTGAGTCTTGTAGACCGATAGCCTCTCTGGCTTTCAGGCATGAATGCTCACATTTTACAAAGCCCGGACCTAGTTAGCATGTAAATATACACATTCATTAATGGTTTTTACAGTTTTTACAGTGTTGTGGTCAGAATATTGGGCTGCTCCACCTCCTCTTGGGGTGTCTTAAAGAGTTAACAGAGTGGAGAGACAGTCAAGATACAATAGAGAATGTTTGGTTATGTTGTAATCTTGGTTGTCTCAGTGAGAGACTCTCTCCAGCTCTAGGGCCACTTGGAGAACGTTATAATTAAACTATCAGTGATTTCCACGAGCACAGATGTTTTATGCATAAGTTGTTGGGTGTGGCCAGGTAAGACGGGGATCATTCTACAAACATATGGAATATGTAGGACCTTTTAGGTTTGGATTTTTTCCACCCTTAATAATAAACACCTTCATTTAGACGTTTTGTATACATGTTGTGTTTAATTTTATTATCTTTGTCTAATATTTACATTTGTTTGATGATCTGAAACATTTAAGTGCAACAAACATCCGAAACAAAATATGGTAGGATCCGCCCTGTTAAGAGGGAGTTTTTCGTTCCCACCGTCTCCAAAGTACTTCCTCAGGGCTTGGTCGTATGATTATTGAGGTTTTCTCGCTTTTCTTTGTATTCTTTAGGGTCATTACCTTACAATATAAAGCACCTTGAGGCAGCTGTTGTTGTGATTTGACGCTTTATAAATGAAATTTAATTAAATTGGTGTAAATTTTAAAATAAAAGAAATGATTTAATTAATAATCTCAAAGCAGGAACAATTACTTAATGATGAATACTGTGAAATGTTTCTGGATAACTTCAGAATTAGGTTGTAGTGCAGGGAGAGACTTGGCTAAGAAACCAACTGAGAAGCTGGGAAAATAATATTTATTTGATGATGAAAGCATAGAAATTAACTGAGAAACTAAGTCCAGATTCAAGCTGGGGTCATTGTATGTCATGCTGGATTCTCAACTCGCTGGCCAAACAAGAAAAACAGAAATGTTTACACATTTCAATGTAATTAAAGTCGCAAACCCTGTGCCTACTCCTTTGCTAATCTTTATACTCTCTAGGAGATATCGTTCTTTAGTTTGGACAATAACACGCCAGCAAAACTCTAATGCATAGTAGAATTAGATAAATCTCACTGCAATTAGTATGGATCACGTCATCAGAGCGATAAACATGTTAAGTAAAACACAACAAAAGTACTGAAGAGAGTAATGTTTGCACACTTCCACAAAGCTGTGAGAGAAGAATTACAGCAGCCTGTGTCAGGGACATTACATCAGCTTCTGCAGGGCCTCCTTGGTTTTTGTAGAAAAAAGGTGGGTCTCAAACAACTGCTGAGCATGCGCAGGAGTAATAGCCCCGTAGAAATATTCACAAGACTCATATGTTAAAAGTCGATTAGAGACAAACTAGACCGGACGGCAACCGTGGAAAGTGAGAAAATAATTATTGGGGGGATAATGGAGAACTTCGTTATTACAGGGAAGTATTAAAACAGATCAAAACGAAGGTTGATTTACAAACCAAGGACACCCTAAAGCGGATCATTTCATGCAGCAGAAATAGCAGACACATTAGAAATCGTTGATGGTTAAAGTATTTTATTCAGACTTACGCAAAACCAAAAACGTTTTAAAAGCGTCTTGTAACGGAGTTAAAAATACATATGAAAAACATGCACTTACCTGTTCTTAATTATCATTTTAAGTGTGAATTTTATCATTTTTTTTTATTGTATTTTATTTTGAAAACCCAGAAACCGGATCTCACTCTAACGTTTAGAAGCTGCTAAGGCTTCCGCTTCTCACAGCGCGCGTTTGCACTGTGAGGGAGCTACAATTGCTGTACCATCAGAAGACACCTGTTGAGTGTGTTTTATGTCTTCTGCAGGTACGTGAGCTTGTTAACAGCCATTTTGTCTGTAAAGCACAAGCAAGTGAAGATGTAATGCGCTATTGTTAATTTGTCCACTAGAGGGAAATGTTTAGTTGGTGATACTTATGTTATCCTGTTATTCTGTTTTATACGATTGTGAAATGTATTTTATTAGTCATAAGATTTCTTTTGTATACAAGCTCAGTATGACAGAGTGTAAAATGAGAGAAGTTATTATTTTCCACCTTTTCTTTATTAAAAGGTTAATTGTAAGTCTGTTAAGACAGCGCGCGTTTGCACTGTGAGGGAGCTACAATTGTGGTACCATCAGAAGACACCTGTTGAGTGTGTTTTATGTCTTCTGCAGGAATAAACTGTGAAAAGCCAACCTTCCTGAGCATCTGTGATTTTTGAAGAGCTGGAAGTGTTACAGTCTGACCCTTTTTAGACCTTATTACGTAAACACATTTTTGTCTCATACGCTCCTCCCACCACATGACGTCTTCTTAGGTTCGCTGGTTTTCCAGCCTTCAGCTACACCTGCGCTTTTGTCGGAACGAGGTCAAAAATGTTTTTCACGCTGTTTTCAGCAACCACCTGGACTTTGCTTGCCCTCCTTTTCACGTTGATATTACTGTGAGTATTCCTCGACTGTTCACTGCGGTCAAGCCACCGCACCTGGAATCTTGTTTCTTCTTAATTACCTCGAAAGCAACAGTTGGGTGTCAGGTTTGCTGTTTGTTTTATTGTCCAACTGGCTCCTATCCTCGCTCTCTTTTTGCAACACAGGTACGGATTATGGCCATATCGGTTATTCAAAAAGCTGGGGATACCTGGACCGAGACCCCTGCCTTTTATTGGAACGATGCTGGGCATGAAGAAGGTACGTACATACACTAAACTCACCTTAGCGACTGGGATACGAGGAGCAGACTGATTTAATCTTGAGATTTAGAGATCAGGATTTGCTTGATGAACCTGTCTGTGCTCACGTCCAATTCAGTGGCTTTTTGACACTAATACACATTTTTTTTCCTGTCTACCTTATTGCAGGGATTTCTTGCTTTTGACCTAGAGTGCCATGCCAAGTATGGTGACGTCTGGGGGTGAGTTGTTAATTCATCATGACTGATAGAAGACTCATTCAAAACCACCACTGATATCCACTCATACCAAAATATCTCTGGGAGCCAAACTCACAGTATGTTAAAAATGTAACATATTGTGACTGTGGTTGTGAGGTCAACTCTGTGACAGGATGGAATAATGAAAAAGGTTTTTTACTGGCTTCCTCTTTTTATGAAGTTGTTCTTACTTTGGAGCTTGATCTGATAAAATAGTTTAAATATGAGATGGTAAACAAATATCTTTCGGTGGAAACATAACAAACCATTTTCTCTTTAGGGATAAGTGCAAGAATCAGCCTACATATCCAGATGTGTAATAGTACAAAAAAGAAAAAGAATTGTGAAAGACTCTTTTCTTTTTTTAGGTTGTACGATGGACGAACGCCAGTGTTGATGATTGCTGACCCTGAGATTGTTAAAACTGTGATGGTGAAGGAGTGCTACTCTGCATTTACCAACCGCAGGGTAAGAGGTTCATCTTGTTGTATATCAGAAGTCCTGTCAGTGCAACACTCTCCATGTAACATAGTCTGCTAACAAAACATTGTTTTTTACTTTATTATTTTTCCAAGTTTGCTTTCAGTGGCGCTATAGTCTGAGGCTGACATGTCTAATAATAACAATAACTACAGGGACAAACTGGTATTATATATAAATGAAGTAATGTTCAAATCAGGCAGATTGGACTTTCACCAAGAGTTACACATTTATACTCAAGGGTTACATCAGCCCACACGTACACAGGAGCTGAGACACATGAAGTAAACCAAGCAACACACTTCACTGTTTTGTAGCCACCTAGAGATGAACGATAGATGTTATCTTTCTTGCTCTGTATAGCAAAATCAGAGATACTTTTACAAAGGGGGCGGGCCCCACACTTTGGGAAGGTCTGCATTATAATATATTATATAGAAGGACTTGGAGAGAGCTGTATCTCACTGCGTGAATGTCTTAAGATCTCAGATATTAGAAGCCAAAGATTTCAGCCAACAATCGTTGGTTCCTATCGTAAGGGTAATAAAATCATATTGGTCATAAAATTTTAGTATGTAATGCTTCAAGGCCAGGGGTCAAAGGTCAGACATCAGCAATCTGCTATAAACGCAGGTTGACGTCATGTTGTAATGAAAACGTAAGCGCTTGCGCTTTGGCGAAAATGGCGTTAGAAGACATTACACTATCTGAGGAAACTTTGAGTTTCTGTGTGACAGGGTGGAAGCAACAGTAAAGTTATTTCCTTTTCACAGGATACCAGTTTTGTCAGTGGACCTATGGATGACGCCATTACAGTAGTCAAAGATGAAAGGTGGAAACGAATTCGCAACAGCCTGTCTCCATGCTTCACAAGTGGAAGACTGAAACAG